CTGCGATGATCAAGCGTGGCTGGATGATCTGCAGGTTTACACCAGTGCAATTTGGTCTTGGCTGCTTGCGTTGTAACAGTAAACGTTGCTGTTACGCGGTCGCGTTTACCTGAAACAAGCTGTTTTCCTCTCCGCGCTGCGTGCACCTTCTGCGTTGCGCCCCTTCTCTACGTGCAATTTGCCCTACATAGATGAGTTAATCAAAGACATTATGAAAGCTGCTGTTTCAAGCTGGTTTACACCAGTGCAATTTGGTCTTGGCTGCTTGCGTTGTAACAGTAAACGTTGCTGTTACGCGGTCGCGTTTACCTGAAACAAGCTGTTTTCCTCTCCGCGCTGCGTGCACCTTCTGCGTTGCGCCCCTTCTCTACGTGCAATTTGCCCTACATAGATGAGTTAATCAAAGACATTATGAAAGCTGCTGTTTCAAGCTGGGAATAAACGCTGTTCCTGAACTACTGAGTAATGGCGGTAAAAGCTTACGCGAGCTGCTTGCGGAGTTACCAACCTTAACCTGGCTTCTGCTGGGTGATGAGCAGCCACCAGATTTGATATCCCATTAGCCTGTAGGTATAAGAAATGACATAAAACATCCCCAAATAACTGAACTTTTTTGGTTTGGCTTTTAAGAGCTAATTCTGGGAAATTTTTTGCGTGTTACATGTTGACTTTTTTGGTATTAGCAGGCAATATTGAGCAGCCTTTTAGGAAAATGGGGACATAAGCCTGGAAAAGCTCACCTGAGTCAGTAAGTCTAGTCTAGTTCAGTAGTGTTGCAGGCAGCCACATGATATAGTATAGCCCTTTCTTGCATGTTAAACCTCTTGGGTTTAACCCACACAGACCATCGTCCCCCTTTCAAGCCAACAGGAAGGTTATATTTGAAGTTTGGTTTTCCTTTTCAAGGGAAACTGCTTAAAGGTAGACACAACTCCTAGACAAATAAACGTTCCCTTCTTTGCTTGACGATGTAGCTCGCTTTCCCTCCCCTGCGCGGCAGAAGCTGCCAAGACGAGCCCCAGAGGTGACCCTTTTGACGGAAACCTGTACAAAACAGGCACACACACCAAAGGAAGTATACTCATGTATTTTTATAATGCATCTTGATGCTAGCTGAGTTTCCATGCACTTAACCTGCTATCTCAGAAATAATAAAATGCAACACATTCATTAAACTTAAAATGCTTGTTGACCTATGGTGTCTGTTCAAAACAGTGCGTAACAAAGCCCAAACTATCATATCATGTCCTGCAGTTCCTTTACTGTAAAGCTTGCTGGGGAAATTTTCATCCCAGAGCAACAGGCCAACATCAGGATGCTGCCAAATTAAATTCAATGCATTTCCATGACTGGAAAACTTAGCTGTGAATTTCAGCGGTGAACTGCTGACGCAGGCAGTAGGTGCAAAATAACGGTTGTGGCAAGTAAGTAGTAGAACTCAAGGCATATAACAGATTCACCCAAAAAAAAAAAAAAGCCCTGAAGTTATGATTTCCTGAGTTAATTCAGTATAAGTTACCTTAACTAATTCTCTTCTCTCTTAATGTAAGTTGTTCTGATAAGATTGCATTATGTCCTGCTCTTGGTTTCTCTTTCTTTCTGAAAATTCTGAAAACTTGGGAGGAAGGTCTATTGGGAAAGGAAGATAAATTTCTAGAATACCTCTGAATGGTGGGGTTAATATACACTGCCAACTCGCAGTGTATTCTATCAACTACACATTTGAGACTTCAATGTACAATATTTAACTGTAATGGACAAAATTTAGTTTTACTGAGTTGAAATGGAGTCTACAGGCAGGGTTTTTTAATAATTATGCTCTTTCTTTACCTCTGCTGCAGAAAGCTGTCTGTGCAAATACTCACAATGCTAAGCTTCGCGGTTCCTGAAGCCTCCTGCTCAGGCATCAACAGAGTATGAAAGACCCAAGGGTCAGTGTGAGAACCAGGCTTTTCCCTTTTCCCTCCATAAGCGCACACACGTGCATGCATACTCTTTTTTCTTCTTTGGAGACAGTAAAATCTGACAAGTTAGCAATATGTGACTGAATTAGTGAGAAGACGTGCTCGTGTTTAGCTGACCAACATAGAATCGAAGCAATAATGCCAGAATGAAGCGTGTTGTGTTTACCATAATGTAATTTTTAAGATGTCAAAATCTTGTTATATAGGGCCAAGATTTTCAACGTAATATTTACCTTTGCTGTTTAAGTTAAACTTTTTACGAGAGTAAAAGTTTGGTTTGGTTTTGTTATGCTTCCCCCCACCCCCAAATATTCTGTAATTCAAAAAAATTCTAAGCACAAACCAAAACCTAAACCTTTTGCAATGACAGAGTTGCTCAGTATGTTCCAAGTATTTTGAATTTTGTATGCATTATTTCACATTTTTAAGTAGAAAAAAGCAAATGCTTCACTTAGAGAACGCTTAAATGCCACGCATGGACTGCTCAGACGAGCCTGGTCGTGCCCAGTAACCACAGAAAAATAGAGCATAGGGAGGGAAAACGTCAGTTGCCTTTGCTATAGGCAAATCAGGTAGCCTGCAACTGCTCCACTGGGGTTTGGCAGATTAGCAGCTGGTCAAGGAAGCTGTTTGGTAAAGCCATCCTTATGGCTCTATTTGTGTGGTGTGTCAGCAGCCAGTGAATATGCTGATATCAGTGATACGTTTAGTATTGTAATCATCCTTGACAAGATGAAATATCGTCTTCACATTCCAAGAACATATGGTATTATTGAGCAAGAAAATTGTATGAACAAGGGCAATTATAGCAATAACTATCCATGACAAAGACTACACTAAGTCATCCAAGCATAACCTAGATATAATGAAAATATTTTAAAGGTAAGCATGGTGTAAACCAGTGCCAAAATTACCTAATTTATTATTCTGTCATGAATGATAAAATTTAAAAAAATGCATTGCACAGAATAGTGAGAAAGCATTCCCTTACATACTCATTGCTACGTGATTTGGACGGCCACAAAGGGAGGAAGGTTGCTTGGTAATAGCTACTGAAAGATGATGAAACAGCCGATCTTTAATTCATCTAAATTCCGATCTTTAATTTTTCAGGATATAATGGCTCTGGTGATTCTTCATCACACAATTCCCCTCCCATTTAACTTCCCATCACCACCACCCCATGTCTACGCAGCTATGCAATGCAGAGTAGGCAGCTGACAGCCTATTAATCATAATAGAACTAGCTTTAACCTTGAAAACATTTGCCATCTATACTATTGCACTGTGATAATAAGCTCTTGGGGCTCTTTACACTTTGAGAGGTAACATTTCTGGATATATATTGTCATTTTAAAATAAAGGTGAAGTAGGTAATAAAGATTGACTACAACATGCAAAAGGGCAGTGGGGGGAAAAAAATCATAATTCTTGTGAATTTACTTCCCTTCCTCCTTCCCCTCCATTTTATACTTCATGATTCGTTGCCCTTTTATAGGTTAAAATGAAACCTAGAGCCAAAGCTTAGGTATCTAGCTGAGCTGCTGCAGTAAGGCATGGCCCTTAGGCTGGTTTTCCACACTAGCTGTGCAAAATCCCTGAAAACATCTCTCCATAGAAAGGCCCCAGTTGGCTGTCCTGAAGGGACCAAAGTGTCCTGCCCATCTGGTGACTCTCAGTGGCATCTTGAGCGTCATTCCCTGCTTTTGCTCTAATGTGTGGTGGGATGCCCGAGATCCCTGCTTCATGCACGTGTATGATCCTGTGTCTACCTTGGCCTCTACACCCATAGGGAGATATCCACAGGTTTTCATATGTATATTAAAAAAAAAAAAAAAAAAGAGGAATCTGTGTCCTTACTCTGTCATGATTAACAGGTGTTTTTTGTGATGGGACCCAATGGAGAGTAAATGTGTAAAGCAGCAGCTGGGGAGAAAGAGGGTGAGTGTCAGAGGCCACGTTGTACAGCTTTGTTCCTCAGCACTGGAGCCAGCAATAGGAGAAAGAACCAAAATTACTGTGTGGTGTTTCTGTTTATAAAAAATGCTCTGCTGGTCAAGTGGGAGTTTCAAAGCACTTTACAAAAAAGGGCAGTATCATTAGCCTCATTTTACTGATGGAGGAGAAAACACATAGTAAGGAAGAGGTACATGCTAAAGGTCACGCAGCAGAATAAGAGCAGGGCAATGACAAAACCCCAGCTTTTCTGAAATGCGGTCTTTGGATGCACGGACATAGCCAGCAATCTCCCAAAACATGGACCCGATCAGACAGTTGATGGCTGGCAGAGCTGCCTGGCTGAGGCAGATGCCTCAGAAAATGCCGCAGAAAGTTCCTGGTTGCATGTGAACCCCTCTCCTATTCAGAAACCCCTTTCCCCCTCTGTACCCAACCACAGAAATGATACAGAAGTAGATGCTGTGTGGGGACGGGAGTGGATTTCTGAAAGAGATGCGTGTGTGTGTGTGTGTATATATATATATATATGTGTGTGTGTGTGTGTGTATGTATGTATGTATGTATATGTGTGTGTATATATATGTGTGCACATGCACACACACCTACATTGTGAGATCTGGTAAAATGAGATGTTTCCCCTCTATATCTGAGACATAATTTGATGGCCTAGGATTGCCATATGTCATATCCATAAAAAGCCACTTTTTCACCTAGGAATTGACCTTGACCAGGTTGCTGGAATAGTTGGGTTACAATAAATAATCTGCAGCAGTTGCTTCAGCAAACAGGCTGCTTCCTTAAAAGGGAGGGAATGACTTTCCTCAGAATGTTCTGTGGGTATAGACTTTAATACAAAAATATTGGTTGCATGTTATCTGGGCCACACTAGGCCACATAATGCAAATATTCAGTAGGACTTCTCATACAAATAAAGATCTGCTTGCTTAACCATAACGTTAATATTCATAATAAGGAGCCATAACTTTTCTAACATTGTTTAAAACTCATGTCAAAATAATTTGAACAAATACAAAGTCTTTTTAGGAAATTAAGTTTTCTTATTTATTTGGGTGGAAAACAACAAAACTAAATTACTTTACTACTTACTAGCAAAGTCATTCTTGCTACATTATCCATTTTAAAACTCACATCTCATTCAATTAAGATTTCATATCATTGACAAAATTATGCTGTCCTGAAAAAATATTGCAAAAGCTGCTATATACAAGTCCATAAATAAACTGAAAGACTTTCAGATTTCAAAAGACTGAGGAGAGGAAGAGATTGTTTAAAGATTCATTTGAGCATTTCTTATTCAGTACACTTCCTGCATTCAGTAACAACAAAAATACATTGAATCAAACAAAAAGAACAGACTTGAAGGGAAAGGGGAAATGGTTTTTTTGCTGTTTTTACTAGTTTATCAAAAAAACAGAAGAAACCCCATCCCCAAACTAATATCATAAATACAGTGTTCTAACTCCTAACCTCATGTGACATAAACAAGATATTATTGTTTCATTACAAGTATAAAACCAAAAGCATTTTCATGAGTACTTTTTTTTTTGGTGATCAATTTTAAAATACGGCATACCTGGATGAAAAACAGATTTAACCCTTTATACTGGGTACTGTCACTTGAACGTCATGTGCTGTTTTCAAATGGACCTTGGGCAGTAATGTGTGTGACCAATATACAGTCAGCATAGGAGAAAATGCGTACAATGAAAATGGCATAGAGAGGAATATACTTAAAAATTAAGATTAAAAAAAGCTTTTATTTCCTCTGGTTCATTCACAGAACTGTTCATACTACAACATAATGATTATAAGAGAAATTATCAGAGAGGGTTTAAATCTATATCCATGGTCACAGTAGTTTTAAAAAAAATTGTGCTCCAGTATCAAAAAATATGCTTAAATATGTTGTCTGCACACAATACAGACGCTTTGAACTCTGTTATCACAGTACTGTTCTGCTGCAATCTGCCTCCATACGTTCCGAGGGCTCCTTCTCCTGTATCTTTGGAACAAAAACATTCTCAGGCTAAGAAAAGCAGATCTGTTTGCACAGCTGTAAGATAGTTCAGTGTTCAAAGGGCTAGAAGAAAGCCATACACAAAAGCCAAAAGAAAGGCATAGCCATTTAGACGTTTAGCTTTTACTGACCCTCCTCTTATGATTAGCTGTTAACACCTTAAGAGTTATTTAGCAACACAGGAAACACAAGATTAGAAGTGTATATATTGTATGCATATATATGTATGATATGCAATGTGTCATAAATTCAGCGTATATCTGGTGAAACTAATTTCTGTAAAATGTTTCAATTTCTAGTCACAGACTTGGGTGAACTATGGAGTTTTCAGTTTGGTGACCATCCAACAAATCTTGGCCAGGACAGGGGGAAGGCAGGGGAGATGGAAAAGCTTGGTCCAAACTGAAACAATCACTTTTTTTCTTAGGAGGGAAGCATAGGGAAAACTTGTTTTGGATCAATCAAAAATGAAATGCATTGATGTTTTTTGAACTTTAACTCCACTTTGAATGAAACACTTCACTAAATTCAATCCTAATACCTCCTTTTCCCTAAAGCTCAAACTTTTTTTTTTTTTAAATTTACTATCCAATGAGCAATTTTCACCATGTGCATTAGGGGGCAGATACCTTTTCTCTTGGAAATGAATAGCAGGTATCTTGCTAGATTGACGGGGATCAGAGGTGGTCTGAGCTGTTGAAGACACAGACCTTAAACTAAGAAAATATCTTGCGGGGGGGAGGGGGCGACTGACTAATCGTCTTTGCTGTAATATTTTTGTAGCCCAGTGTATTAGGAAAGCCAATATAATCATCTTGGTAATTCCTGAGAACCAGTACACCAGGTGCCTTAGAGAAACTGCTACTGCAAACAAGCAACACCTGGAAATAAGGAGACAAGGCTGCGAAGCCCTTCTCCTAAGGGGGTCTCACCTTTGGAAATGGTTCTTGGGGACTCTTGCTGTAGAGTACATCTTACAGCAGGGTATGTATTTAGGGGCTCTGACCACCTCCAGGGCTTGTAGTCTACTTTACCCCCTCCCCAGTTGGTTAGGTGCAGCACTGGCTGGCTGAGATTTCGCCCCCTTGTGCTCCAAGCATCACTTCTGAGAACCTAGAAAACACTGGTCACAAGATAAATTACAGTATTTTTTCCCCCTGAAACATGCTTCATAGCAGTGCTAAAGCAGAAGCTACTAAGTGCTGAGCAGAGTTTAAAATCACAAAAGACTCAGCGAAGACCTATTTAAAAGATGTCTGTCGGTAATAATACATAGATGTATTTGTAGCCTGGCTGTCTTCACAGTATTTTGTTGTGTTACGGTTTTGTGTTTGGAATTCAGTGTCTCAATCCGAGCAGTAAAAGGAGAAAGATAAGTCACAGTGCCAGGTTTTGATTTCCAAAAGCTAGAGTGCCATTGTGAAATGCGCTTGATGGACAGTTGTTGATTGCATCCAAAAGCTTCAGGCAAAGCAATACAAATGCTTTGCACAGCGATATGACAGCAGACACAGCTCAGTGATGGAAGTGCTATGGACTGCTGCAGGACAACCTTAGCCATTTCTGTCTCTTACAGATACGATGTAAAGAGGAATATCTAAAATACTAACAGGCCTATGACTCTTATATGTTACATATACTGTTTATGTGCAGAGACATATGTATATTAGTTTTGCTATTTCCATACCCATACTGGGAGCTGAATAGCTGGAATCTGCTCCTTCCTCAAGTTCTGGCTTCCTTGGGGTATTTAAATTAATCACCTGTTAACTCTATGTATTCTGAATAAGTTTCACTTCGGTAATTGGATTCTGTAAGGTATTAAATGTAAACAGAGTGCACAGCAAGACCAGAGTAGCCCCATTACAACATCACAGTGGGAAGCATTTCATTTTAGAGCATAAAAATCCATCCTTCCCAAGGTATGTTGCCTTTCCTTGGTTCTAGGAGCTGGAATGATTCAAATAGCAATGAGCCCTTTTAAATGCCTACTGTTTTCATCATTGCTGACAAAACCATCCAGTGTATATTTGTGCTAGTTATTTTTACAGATATTGCTAATAGCCAAGTGGTAGATTGTGTTACAGTTTGGAAGGCAAGCAGATGAGGACTATTTACTCAGCAAAACAAATGCCAATTTCCAATTTATTAGGCAGTGATTTAAAAAAAAAAAAGAGTAGTTTTCTACTGGTATTAACAGTGAGAAAATACTGGTGGACACTGTGTCAGAAGTCCTGAAAGTATGGCTTGATATTTTTTTTTTTTTCCACTGAGAAGCTGCTATCGCTGTCAGACTGCTGATAAATCAATGCGATTGGCTGAATTGGTGCTCTTATCCCAGGTGTTTAGCTTCGTGGGGGTTGTGCCTGGCCTGTTCCCAGTCATCTAGAAGATAAAATAATATTGAAAGTAGATGGATTTATTTTGCTAAACTGCTGTTATCTGGAGTAAATAGATGCTTTCAAGCTTTTATTTCAATTACAGCACTGTCAGTCTTGTGAGTATATGCCATAAAGGACTTTTAACAGTTGTTGCCAGGTTCTAAGGTGAGAGGCAGTGATCACTTAATAGTACCTATCAATTCAGAAGTTTGTTTTTTTATAAAAACAAATGTCTTTTGCCTCAGGAAAATTTAAGGAGGGCTAGGAAAACACATAAGGTATGCATTGATTTATTTAAGAGTTTATTCCTCAAACATAAATGCAAAAGCACCCTATCAAAAAGCCACAGTCATCAGACAAAGGTGTTACCGAAATGCTGCTTGAATACAATAATATGATGTCCACTACAACTGATGGGAATAGTCTCAATGAACTTGTACTCCAGAGCTGGTAAAGCTTGTTTAACGTTAATTGACGATTTACTATAAAGTAGAATTTAGCCCTTTGCTTTCTAAACAGATTTTGTAGCTGGGACATAATACTTGCTGATTCCACCTAACTGCGCAATGGTGGCAGGTTAGGTGCTAAGCAATATTCACATGCCTCCTTCTGTCCTATTCTTTCCGACAGGATTTAATGTAGGCAACTTTCAAGTATACAACTAGGGGGGAAAGGAATTACTTACAATATCTGAATTGAAGGGCTTCACATTGACGTTGCGAATTGAACTACTGGTGAGGGACCAGACCTTGGTTTTGTGCTTAAAGGCAGCTCTAACCTTAGGAAAAAAAAAATGAAACCAAATAGAAGATACCTTTCAATAAAGCTGCATTTTCTGAGGTTCAGCCTAGAGTCATTTCCCTGTTATCCTGCCTCCACATTAACATCACTGTACCAGAAACAACAAACAAATCTCTCCTTTTTTTTAATATTTATGATCTGAAGTTTTAACTTCACTTTTCAACTATACATACATTAAATATAGAGCATTTTACAACCTCACTCCTGTCTCATTTCACCAGCAGTATATTCATGTTATCTGGGTTATCCCATCTTCCTAAATGTCCAAGCAATGACTGTGTTACCTTCCATCTTGTTTAAAAATAAATAAAAATATAAGCAAAAAACAACCCTGCAGGGTATATAAGCTTATATCCCCAGGATGTGCAGTCCTGTTCTGAAAAACTGTTCTGATTGTACAGATTATCAGCAGCTCTTCAGGACACTTTCACATTTTTTAAACCAAATATATGGCCCAAGAGTTAACCACAAGCTCCCCCATTCAGGTGGGCTCTCCCCTGGAGCTCATGTGGCCCTAATGGTGCCTATCTGCCATGAGGAGGTGAGCCAGCTGCCAGCCTTTTTGAAAGTGAAATTGTTTAGAAGATGATAGATGAAATTTGCTATAGATATAGGTAAGACTCTACACCATGGAGAAAATAACCTACTGCATAAATAACGGTTGGTAAGGGAAGTATAGGAGGTTTTGCAGTCAGTTTTGCTAGCTGGCAGTGATTCATCAGTGTTATGCATTTTGTCAGGAGGAGTGTAGTCTGCAAAATACATGAAGTAATCCTTTCTCCCTCTTCTACAATGACAAGGCCTCAGCTACAATACTGTTTTCCCAAGGAAAACATGGACCAGTTGGAGACAACCATACTAGTTGGAGACAGCCATAGAATGGAGCCTATATGAGCTATTCTCCAAAAGTGACTGTTCACATTAGCTATATATGAACTGTTTGACAAGGATTCAAATTCTGAAAAATTTAGGAATTTCTTTTCTCGCTAGGTTTGTGGAAAAATGGCAGCAATTCAAGTATTTGTATTTGATGTTAGACTAAGATACTTGACAGAAGGAAGAAGGCTTTCTGAGCCTGGAGGAAAATAGGATAAAGACATACCTTCCTTCCTTAACTTTGACCTGCCTGCCAGTAAAGTTCTGGAATTTTACAGTAGGCGCTCACTCTGAACTGACTGCAGTAAAGATCCAGTCAATGCCCTAAGACTGGATAGATTAGCAAACCTTAATAAATGGTAACTGATTAATGAAAAGACTGTCATGAGTGACCCTCCACTTAGAGCCAGAGTGCTTCTGATGCTCAGGGAGAAGCAGCAGGTTATGGAGCAGAGCGTATAGAAGCAAGAGTCCTGGGAAAATCAAAGGTATGTGGGTATTCACTGATTGGTGCCCTCCTGTCAGCATGCTGGAAATGGCTTTCATTAAAAAGTTTTACTGATAATGCCTGCTGCTGGGCGTTTTCTACCATCTGCCGAGGGAGGAGAGGATGCCGCCAGCTCCAGGCCCAGCAGAGACCGTCTCTGCAGGGCCTGCGTACATGGGCCAGGCTTTGGCTTTAACCCAGCTGGTCTGAAAGACAGTCTTAATGTGCAAAGATTCCTCTTGCTGCTCCATTGTGAAAACCGTCCTTTCCTGCCAAGAAAAATACCTGGAATATGTTCTACTCTGTTTGGTTTCCCATTAAGAAATGCATGAGCAATCTCCAGAAGTATGTTTTGCTGAGATTAATATTTATTTTCCTCTCTGGTACTTGAGCTGTCCCCACGCACCGGGGGCGGCTGCAGCAATTCCTTCTGCCACAATTTAAACTTTCTCACTTAAAGCATGGTCTGTGCCCTGCTAGGCTCCCTCCGTGCCAGAGGAGTACTTCTCTCCTTAGCCTTGAGCTCCCATCTGTAACTGTCCCCCTGCCACACACCCCAAAACTCCTCTTTCTTATGTTAAATAAAATAAATGACAGTCATGGGTCAAAATGCTGCAAGTTTCAAAATCACTGACAGTCATGTGCTTATTGAAAGAAAAAAAAAATGTCAATGATGTAGCAGGTAGTGACAGTGGGGAAAGCCATTTTCTGCTTTACACTCTTGAGTTTGGTAAAGCTCCCACCTTCTGTATGAGTTGTAGAGACATCTACTTAGAAATAGCGTACATTACTGAGCAATTGTGACTGAGGAATAAGGCTCATACTCAAATCAGCAGCATTAAGCAACGATTACCTAAAAATATCAAACATCATTTTCAGATTAATTTATTAAACATGCACTGTTGCAAAAACTCAAGTCCTACTTCTACTACAAAGAAAAAAGGTATTTATTGAGGAAAACATACCTCTGAATTCAGAAGGCAGTGAAACAGGAAGATGAAAAATCCCTGAAAATGAAAAAACAGATAAAAGAGAGAAGGATAAAGACTGAAGTTATCTCTTACAGTATTGTAAGGTAGAAAAGCAGGTAGCAAGCAGACGAAGCTCTATAAACAAGTAGCAGTGGGTCAAATTCTACCCCAAGTTAAACTGGAGAATCCCGCAGGTTACTGTGAGGCTCGTCTGGACCTTTTCCCATGAAACAGCACCTCCTAAACTTTGGGGTGTTCGGGGAGAAAAGCTGATAGAAAAGAAACAGGCGTTCTATTTTCATTAGCTACAAGAAAACATTTTGTCTGTTTGAAAGGTAAAAGCAGGGGAAATGCTCTTTGGGAAACTCTGCATCATTTTTCATACCAAAAAGCAGATATTACCATTAGGAGACTTTTCACAACAGACATTTGCTTTCTTTGGACTTTTTGTCTGATGAAAAGCAAAAAGGCTTCCCCAAAATAATATTATTTTCTTTTGGGGACTGTTCAGGCAAACTATTTTGGTTTGGGTTTGGGGGTTTGTTGTTGTTGGGTTTTTTTGTTTGTTTGTTTTTGATGAAAATTGGAACTTGGAGAACTCTGCTCTTTCTGTGACTGTAGTGGTATTTGTTTCTGAGCTTGCTCTGTTGAACAAGCAATTCACAAGAAGTCATTTTTCTTCTTTGTGTTACAATTCTTTCCTGAAAAATGGTTGCAACTTTAGATTTATGCCTCTACTCAAGCCTCTGCTTAAAGCTAAGCAGATGCTTACATTCTTTCTTGAACAAAGCTATTTTTTGTGATTGGTGTCCTCAGAAGAAGAGGGTTTCATTGCCTGTTTGTGAGATTTTTGCAGAAATCAACCCATGCTGATTTCTGCAAAATGCAGTATAATACTTCCCCTTTTACTCCTTACACTGCACTGTTCCCAGCAACTTCTGTTTGCTTTCACTTAGTACTGAGGCCTCAAACTGACACTGAAAAATTGTTTGGGTATCTCCAATGAAGGATGTAGCCTTTCGTTCCTGGTGCTGGCAGAATGAATTTCATTTCTTGAGCACATTGTCTCATTTATTTAATTATTGCTACTGAAAACACTAAGGAGTGGAATGAAAGCTTTGTTCAAACAGAAACTAAACAATTGGCAGCTCTGTATTGTCACTGCAGACTTGAAAGACACAGGAAGGAACATGGAAAGAATCCAATAAATATGAGCATGTGGAAACATTACTAATGATCCATTTGTTGGCTCTCAGCAGCAGCTTGGTAGCCATATACTTTCACACCAGGTACTTACTTGTAGTGAATTGAATACAGCAAACATATACTGAAATACTAATGCATGGTCATTGACAGCTAGAACGCCAAAGATCCATGAGCTTCCCAAGATTGGTAACAGTACAGCAACTGCTTTAGCCGTTAGTCTGAAAGAGAAAACAAAGACAGGAAAGGTGAAGAAACAAATAAATTTCAGGCAACATAGCAGGGAGTTTCCTTATCAATTATTTCCTGGCACTAAGTCAGTGTGTTTCGCATATAAATGTAAGCAGAAGGTTGATAAAGAGGAATGGTGGCTTAACTGTAATAGAATAAGTCAGTGATGCTCTTAACCATAAAATTATTTGGTGTTTCTGGGAAAATCTTTAAATTTCCCATTCCTCATCTATAAAAATGGGGATAACAGAATGTTGCTATCAAATGGGATAACTACAGATTGAGATAGTCAGTAACTGAGGTAGAGAGGAAGAGGAAGCAGACAGATGACTACTGTAGCCATATCTTTAGCTGGTACTGAGGTATAATCATTTCATCAGTAAAGTGTAATAATAGTGTGAGAGTATAAAAAAGAGGGCAGAAACTGAGAACAAAGGGAGTATTGCATGGAAAAATTAAAAACACTATATAGTGTATGCAAAATACATTTACTTAGTGCTACAGTTAGGTCAAGGCAATGTGGTATTTCGGTTCTAGAGCATGACTTGGGATTTTTAATCCTCACAGATAGGAAGAAACTTGGTCTACGCCTGTTGCCAAATGCAAATCCTCTAACAGCACAGTATTATTCTGCTACTGCTGTGTTTTGTTCAGAGTTGATTCAGAGAAAAGTATGCCGACTCTTGAAATGACTTCTGTTTCTTGCAGGTCCCACCTGATATGTGTTCACTCTGCTCAGCTTGCAGTACGGGCAGAATTTCAGTGAAAGGTGATATGACAGCTGAAAAGCTAATAGCAGTGAGAAAATCCTGTATTTGCCTTAATGAGCTATGTGCAGGATGTTTGTTGTAGTGGAAGAATAAAAGAAATCTTACTATTGTACTAGGAAATTAAATGATCATAGAGTTTTCTACAACAGCTGAATTCTGTGGATCAAACTCTATTAAACAAGAAAGCCATAGAGAAAACAAAGGAATCTCATTTAGAAAAACTGTGAGATCAGAACTACGTTTCCTCACTATCTCCATAGCTTTCGACATTGAAGACCCAAAGAAGTATAAGCCTCTTGTAAAAGGTGCATCTCCTTCATCTGCGAAAGGAATTCTGTGATTCTGCGAATTAAGGTCATCCAAACCTCAGAGAAAGCACTCGCGACTCTGCAGAATAGTTACTGGCAGTTTTTGGATCCATTTCCTGCTTTTACTTAAATGTTCCTAATAATCTCTTCCACAACTGAATTACCAATCAACCACTTTCAAGAAAGGTAGGCAAGTCTGACAAAATGCAACTCACAGATTAGTGTTTATCCTACACAATTGTTGTCTTATGAAACCCTCAGGGCATCTTTCTTTTCACTGTCCTGAAAGATCTTATTCGTACTACTGAATTGTACTAAAGAATTGTACTTTCATGTGTGCATATACCCTGTAAAGTTGACTGCAACAGTACTGTAGTAATAGTCCTATAGAGTGCTTTTTAGTGTAATCACAGGAAAAGATATGAAGAGAACATGATTACGTTGTAGAAGTCCTTGGCACAGGATGCTATGGAAATCTAAGAAAGGGTCCAATAAATTCATGGAAGATAGTTCCGTTATGGACTGTTAAATGTGACAATCCAGATGCAACCACTTACACAGAAAGTCCCTCATCTTTTGTGTGCTGAAAGCTGGGAGTATGTATTTGGAGAAAAATACATCTACATAACCTTTTATAGTAAGGATACTGGGCCAGCTGGACCACCAGTCCATCCAGTCTAAACTGTGATGGCAGTTCTTTTGTTCTTAACCTAATCCATCTATGTTGTGATTAAAAGAATCAAAACCTCCACAGTTCATTTTTCCTGTCAGTTTGACCTAGTAAAAGCAGATAAAGCTGGGCCAGGTGACCGATAGATACAGATGGCATCACTAACTCGTCGCTCACTTTCTCCCAGTAAGTGATCCTGGGCTATACACCTAGCTCGCAGCACTGGACAGCCAGAAAGCATTTGTGGGGTCTGTCCATTTGGGAACCTCTCACAACTCCCTGGGAATCCCACAGGGCAAAACGCTCTTGCTGTCAAAACACTGCTCAGTAAGTAGCCTGGTGCAATTTTGTCTACCAAGGCTGAATAGATGTTGATGCTTTGTACACCTGGCCATCACCTCTTCAGTGACAGATTTCAAAGGACAAACTCATCCTCCTTGGCAGCTGAGAACAGCGTTGGGGCAACAAGACAGAAAGCAGAAGGAAGGAAGCTTTCCCTGCCTAGAGATATCCTGAATCTGCAGGTAGATCTAATCCCTACTACATAAATGTATGCTGACCTCCTGTTGCAGCCTACAGGATTTAAGCACGTACTTACACTTAAAGATGTGTTTAAAATATTTCAGTGAATTCAGTCTTATGGTACAATTATAGATAAAGAAGCCAAGAGGGCAGTAAAAGGACCATGGGTAGAGCAAAACTGAAAGTCAGACCACGCTTGCCAGAACTGCACTTCTCAGAAACTCAGATTTTTAGGGGGCAGGAAACCTATACCAGAAAGTTGTTCTAAGGAGCTTAATGTCCTGCTTGTGCCTTTTACACCCATTCAGGTTAAAGTACAGGTACAGAAGAGAGTTGCATGACAAGAGACCACTGTAATTATAGCAAACATGAGACAAATGAGATTGTTGTACAATATAATTCAATGAAAACATCTTTTAATTAAATACTTAGATCCAAGATATCTTGTCCATTTCAGCGACCTGAGCACGCAGTTCATTACATCCTTGATTAAAAGTGTATGTTGAAATACTGCCTAGGCTTCAGGTTTATTGGAAAATCTGTGACAGGGAAGACAGCTGGAGTCAGGGTTCCCCCACCTCCATATTGATAAGTATCTTAATGTCCATAGCCATGAATATTTCTATACAATTCAATTTAATTCTGCAAAGAATCTGTTCAGCCAGAAAATGAAGGAATACAATAAAACTTGAGTTCTCTTATTCAATTATGATATACATTTAAAAGGGTACAATTCTAGAACAGCTCAGTGATACAAGTTTATTTTCATGAATCGAGGATGGTGGGGCTTTATTATTTTTGTTCTTTTCCCTGTTGAGATTAAAGTTCTTCACCTCAACTGTAACATAAGACATGTGTTCCACTGGGGAAGCGCCAGCAGAGCACACCTGGCGGTGCACTTTGTGCACAAGGACCTGTACAGGGCCCTTGAGACTTCAGCAAAATGCATCTGGGCAGGACTCAGGGCAGGTTCGGGGAGGACCCCCGACCCCACCAAAAATGGATTAGGTACTTTCAGTTTCTGTGATGGTCGAGATGTCCCCTCTAGCCTGCTATAGCAGGTGATTGGTATGCCAAACAGAGTTACATGTGTAAAACCTGGAGGGCTGTACAACCTCCTCCCCCTCCCGCTTTTGTTTTCATACTCGCTCAATTTTCGTAGAACTTGCAGTTTGGAATATAACTTTCCCTAGACAGTTTGTTGCCAAAAATAAGTTTTCATTATGTTTTCAAGTCTCAGCAAAAAACCTTCATCTGTAGTTTGTGGTCTTGGACAGAAAGGAGTTAGGTACTTAATTTCAATGTTTTTAAAAATCCTCCTCACTGTTTGCATTTTCAGGAGCCTTTGACATCACAAATATCTTACATATTTAAAAAAATACAAATAAAAAAGGTATTAATGAAGACCATTCATTTTTAAATACATGGTCCAGAGCATACGCAGCAGAAATGCATAGTTAAAAATGAAGCCAGAATACAGATGCATGGGATTTTTTTTTTTTTTTTTGCACCTATATGTGTGCCTCTCTCAGTGCACACCCATTTAAAAGAGCAACCAGCTGGGGTGAAATTCACCTAAGACTATCTAAGGGTCGACTCTGCCTGTGTATCACTTAAATCCCATTATCTCTTTTTTGCTTAATTATTGCATAGCTTTTTATGCCTGCCTGCTGTGAACTTCACGCTATATATGGAATTATTAGTTCAAGGTGTTTATGAACTTTCCTCACTGAGCAGAGAACTCAGCTCTATTGTTTCCTCGTCCTTTTATTTTCTTCCACTTACCCCTCCCCTTCCTTATTTCATTTTTGTCTTTGAACTTTGCAAAAGAAAAATATTAAATGTAAAATGCTGTGTCAGAACACCATTAACCATGGTTAAAAATCACAAAAAAAAAAACCCTTAGAAATTCAAAAGTTAATGTTCCACTAGGCACATTAATTCCGCCACACTGCACATACATTTTTTTTTTATTCTCATTTTTTTGCTGCTTGAATATTTTAGTTGATTAGTTCTAGTACACCAAGACACAGAAAGCAATCAAACATGTTGCTTTTGGAGAAAAAATATATATGACTTATTGCATGTAACCTTAAAACTCAAAGGATGATAGTGACATCTTTTATACTATCAATGAAGTTGGTGAAACGATGAAGTAATACTCCTGGGCAGGGGGCAGCTCTTACTTTGAGGATAGTGAGGCCAGTGGGATCCCCACCAGAACTTTACAAACCTTGCTGAAATCTTTGTTCGACCTTCTGTTCTAATATAATGGAAAACATAAAAAAAAAAAAAAGGCCATTGCCTTGCAGAGGTCCCTGTACGTTTCTCCTGCATACTCCTTTTTGGGCTCTGGCCTTTGGAATCGGAAGCAACCTAACAGCCTATTTCTCCTATATGCCGTCAAAAGCTCAGACGTTGTTGCTCCTCTGCGTTTTGTTAGCATTAAGTTTTGTGAGCTTTTTGTCTCTCTGTGTCTATGTACACTGAGTTATCAGCCTTGGAATGAATGAAGAACAAAAAGCTAGCACAGGGAATTCTTTTCTCCTTTCTGTTGTTTTCTTTTTTCTTCCCTTTTTTCTTCCCTTTTTCATTTTTTCCCTTTTTTCTTCCCTTTTTCTTTTTTCTTCCCTCTTTTTCTTTTTTTCTTCCCTCTTTTTCTTTTCCCTTCCCTCTTTTTCCTTTTTCCTCAAGTATGTACCTGTTGTTACTTCAAGAAT